GATAAAAAAGGATACCATACCCTTTGCAACAACATACATGGACCTTGAGGGCACTCTCTTAAGTGAAATAAGCCAGAGAAAGACAAATAAAATATGATCTCACTTATAGATAGAATCTAAAGAAACTGAACCTCAGATACAGAGGACAGATTGGTGGTTGCCAGAGGTGGAGCTGGAGAGTATTGGCGATGGGTGACAGAAGTCAGAAGGTACAAAATCCCATGTAAGATAATCATGGGGATGTAATGTACCGTGTAGTGACTATAGTAAAAAATATTGTATCTCCCTGGACAGTGTGACTCTGTTGGAGTGTTATCCCTTATACTGAAAGGTGGCGGGTTCAATTCCTGATCAGGGCACATACCCAGGTTGCCAGTTAGATCATCAGTTGGGGCATGTACAGAAGGTAGCCAATCTATATTTCTCTCACACATTGATGCTCCCTCCTCTTTCTCTCCCCCTTCCTCTCTAAAATCAATAAAAATACTGTATTACATATTTGCTAAGAGTAAACTGCTAAGAGTAAAGTTCTCATTATTTATATACCTGAATTTAAAAGCACTATCTTATTTTGTACTTTTAATTTGTCTTTGTATATATCTGTCTTGCCTGCTTCTAGAATATAATTTTTATCCTACATTAATTAGTCCCTCTGCTGATTTGAAAGTAATGCAATCTGTTTCTATACTTATTACTCTAGAAATTGTATATATCCTCTGAAGCTCTTCTGTTAATTAAGATGAGCCTCTTTCCAGATTTTACATTTCTCCATTCTAAATTATATGTAGCTGAACTCCCATGAGTACTGGGAAGCCTTTAAGATAATCATTTCCCAGGTTAAATGAAATTACTCCTAGATATAACATTTTTTAAAAAAGCAGCCCATACACATTTATAATGTCCTTCAATTTAAAAACATTACAGTTCAATCTGAGCTGATTGTCTGGTTGTGGAACATGCCCTGATCACTAAGTTCCGGCTCACCGAAGTAGTTAGAAGAAAGTCCTTATAACCACCCTAAATGTGATATACTTATATCACTGATGTCTTTGATGATGTTTATAATTACAAAGTTAATCTCAAAATTTAAGAAAGGAAGTATGGGAAAGAGGGTCTTGGGCTAAAAACCCTCAACTTCAGAGGCCCTCCTTTTTTGATGAGTAAACTTTGCAGTGACTCTACATCAAATTTGTGTGTGTGTAAGCAAATTCCTCCTCTTTACCTTGAAAAAGTGGCTGATATCAAGACTCAAGCATGGAAAGTATACATGGGCCTGGAACATCTGTGTCTGGAATGAAAGGTGTGACCTAAACCTGATGGAGAAAGGCAAAGAATACAGGAGTGGCTTAAATAGGCTTCCTCAGGCCCATTTGGTTTAGTTGGAGCATCAAAAGGCATAATGATAGAAATGAATTGTAACAAAGTATTCAAGAATCCCTACTGATAGTTAAGTGAACAAATTTAGAAAGAAAAACTTTTCTTTACAGAAGAACAAGCTAATCAATGTAGAAAAATGATAGAAAAAATTTTAAATTATAATTTCTAATCACTGTGATAATTACTGACTTAGTAAGAATCATCAATAGATATTAAAATCCTAAGGGGAGCCCGGCCGGGTGTGGCTCAGCAGGTGAGCATCGACCTAGGATCCAGGCGATCGGGGTTTGATTTCCAGTCAGGGCACATGCCCGGGTTGTGGGCTCCATCCCAAGTCGGGGGCATGCAGGGGGCAGCCGATCAATGACTCTCATCATTGATGTTTCTCTCTCTCCCTCTCCTTTCCTCTCTCTGAAATCAATAAAGATTAAAAAAAAAAAAAAAATCCTAAGAGGAAAAAATATTTGGCCCCTGGCCCCTGTGGCTCAGTGGTTAGAGTGTTGGCCCGAGCACCAAAAGGTCTTGGGTTCCATTCCTGGTCAAGGGCACGTTTCTGGGTTGCAGGTTCGATCCCTGGGCCCCAATTGGGGCACGTGCAGGAGACAACCAATTGTGTGTCTCTCTCACATCAATGTTTCTCTCTCTCTTCCCCTCCCTCCCTCCTGCTCTCTCTAAAAATCAATGGAAAAAACATCCTTGAGTGAGGATTAACAACAACAATAAAATTTGGAAGTAGAATTTTCACAAAATTTCATAGTATCACTCCACATTGCTTTTTTGGTTTTTTTTTTGTTAATCCTTGTGTGTGAGAGAGAAATGGACTCATTGATTGGTTGCCTCTGCAACCCAGGTACATGCCCTCAACTGGCAATCGAACTCTCAACCGTTTGGTGCATGGGCTGATGCTCTAACCACTGAGCCTTGCCAGCCAGGGCCACAATTATTTCTTAATCACAAAGATGGATAATTCCATTCTTACAGAGAAACCTGGCAGACATATCCTTTTGAGGGATCTAACTTTACATCACCAATAAGTTGTCATTATGTGCCCCTAGATGTGATGGCCCGAGGACACACTATTACTTATGTAATGTTTTTTTCTTCTTTAAATTGATTTGTGGGGGGAGAGAGAGAAAGAGGGAGAGAAACATTGACTTGTTGCTGCAATTATTTATGCATTCGTTGGTTGATTCTTGTATGTGCCCTGACTTGGGATTGAACCTGCAATGCTTTAACCAACCTAGCTACCCGGCCAGGGCAACTAATGTTAACGTTCTTGCCAAAAATGTTTAATTTGAATCTAGTCATGGGAAACAATATGATAAATCAAAACGGAACATTTTGTAAAGTAATTGCCGTGAAATCTTAAAGAATCATGAAAGACAAAAAGAGGCTTAGGCACTGTTATAGGTTTAGAGTCATGACTAATGCAGGTTGATCCTTGACAGACTCCTGGGGGGAGAGAGGGAAGGAGAGAGATCTTTTAATACAAGTTGAGAAAAATGGGGAAATTTGGATAGGAACTATTTTAAATGCAAGTATTGTATGTGTTAAATATCCTTTTGTGCTGACTGTCTTCTGGCTATGTAGAATGCCCTCAGGAAATACGTGCTGAAGTGAAGGGGGTAAAATGTCATTAGATCTGCAATAGACTGTAAATGTTTCAACACCTGTGTGTGGGCCGGGTGGCAACCTGTTCACAATTGGTAAATCTATGTCAAAGATAAACGGGTGCTCACTGCCCTGTGCTTGCAATGTTTCTATAGGTTTGAAATATTTCAAAATGAAAACTTGGAAGAAATAATACCCGCCCTCATGGAACTCACACCTGGGTGGGACACACGGTAAGTAAGTTAAGTGCTATATGAGGTGTTAAGTGATAGAGAAACAGACCAGGAAAGGAGGGTGAAGTACAGGAGAACTGGGTCACATAATAGTCAAATTAGGCATCACTGAGGTGGTTAATATTGAACAGTCTCGAAAAATCAAGAGTGAAGTCATGATTGTCTCTGGAAAAACAATTTCCTAGGGCCCTGGCCAGTGTGGCTCATTTGGTTGGATGTCATCCTGTGCACTACAAGGTCACTAGTTCGGTTCCTGATCAGGGCAGATACCCAGGTTGTGGGTTTGATCCCTGGTAGGGGGCATGCAGGAGGCAGCTGATTGATGTTACTGCTGTCATATTGATGTTTCTCCTTTCTCTCTCTCTCTCTCTGAAAAAAAGCAAAAAAACAAACAAACAAAAAAACCCCAAAAAACAAAACCCAATAAACTATTCTTTAAAACATTTTTTTTCCTAGGAACTTTATCGGAAGAAGTAACAGAAGACCTAGGTGAGAGCAAGCCTGGTGTTCTCAGGAGGCTGTGCAGAGCAAGCAATGAGGGGGTGAGATCAGCGGGGTGGACATGTCCTGGGGCCTGGAGGCTGTATCCTGTGTGTTCTGAGCAGAGGGGTGAAATGGTACCACCACTCTGCCAGGTTCAGAGCAGACGTTGAGGTGAGTGTGGCAGTGCCACCCAGTCGGAACAATGCAAGGATGGCCTGGACTCAAGAGTAGCAGGAAAGGGGCTTATCCCAACAATTGACTAATTGGATATATAGTGTGAGAGGGAAGGGGAGACTCCAAAGTGTTTAGCTGAGCAATGGAAACAGGAACTAAGGGCAAGTGGGGGAGGGGCACCTGTCAGAACTTGGTTTGGGACCCACGTGTGGGATATTTTTTTTTACACACAAGTAGAGTTATCATGAGTATGAAATCTTTTCATGAATTGTCAGGAGTGGAGATTTAAATCTGGGAGTCTAAAGCATGTAGATTATAGGTAAGTATGAAACTGTAGAGACTTACTTGTCAGGATACTTAAGTGTTTACAAATGTACATTCAAGTTTCACCCTAAAATGTGAGTAGTACAGGTTTAGGGCTCAAAAAGCATACAGCTTGGGGGTGAGGAAGAGGTGTATCAAAATACTCAAACACACCCTACTTGTCAGAAGGGACACAGGGTACCCAAACGCGGTGTGGCCACTCACAAACTCACAGAAGATGGGCCAACCCTGGGGAGGGTAGACCCATCTGAGGAATGAAATCATCAGGCAAGTGTCCCCCAGGGAGATGGAAGGACAGCTACCCAACCGCCCTTTCATCCGTGCCTGACCCTTCTGCTAGGGCCAAGGAAGAGAATAATGTGCCCTCGTTCCACTCACAATATTTTATTGTTCTTTTTTCTCTGTGTAATAAGGGTTTGGGGACAGAATGAACTTAAAGGCCACCTCAGACGCTTTCAGGAATTGTTTTTAGTGTCAATTGGATGAGTGAATTGTAAGGAGTTCATCAGGTCAAAGAAAGGGCATTCTAGTAAGGTAACAGTGGAATATATGACACCTGCCGAACACTTACAAAGTGCCAAGTGCTGGTCTAAAGCCCTACTGTCCAGTATGGCAGCCATTAGCCCCTTTGGCGAGTAACTAGCTACAGGTGGCTTTTAGCCTAAAACGTCCTAAAAAACTCAGGAACTTGAAATAATGTTATTAGTGTACTTCACATTATATGGCATTTATGTTTAAGCTACCATAGGCAGGTTAAGCTATAATTGTATTAAAATTTTAACAAAATAGACAACAGTATTAAAATGTAATTTTTAATTGTTTTTACTTTTCAGTAAAATTAATACTTGTGACAATTTTCCTGCAATTATGAATTAACTGTTCAGAGTTAACAAGAAATGGATTCTTCTATTGAATTTATAAAATAATTTGTAAGAAACATTATCTTTTTCATTATTATTACATAGCATTCAAGGATAATAAAGCTGTCTTGAGATTTCAAAACTGAGAAACCTATGCAAGTTTTAAAAGGTGCATCAGGTACAGTTTAAATATTAATATACACATATTCCATGCCCCAATTCCATTTAATACTAAGATTAATCTTTAATTCCCCAGTTTCCCCTGTTCCTCCCAATATGCCATGACTTTGGAGAACAGTGGCTCTCAAGGGAGCACCTTTGCCCTCCCACACATTTGGCACCTGTAGTCACTGTGATTGTGATGGGGGGATGGGTATCAATGGTATTCAGTGGGTAGAACCCAGGGATGCTGCCAAATGTCTTTTAATGCATAGGATGAACCCCACAACAAAGAATCGTCCAGCCCAAATGTCAAAAGAGCCAGTGATAAGAACCCCTGTGGTAGAGTATGACCCAATTTCCATTTTACAAATAGCCTATCTGTCCCCTGTAATTCTGAGAACACAGACTTTGATAGAAATCAGGACACACACCACTTAATTACCTTGGACCTACTCCCCCTAATTTAATATCCTAATATGGAAAGTTAATTTGGGCTGTTCTGAAGTAGCTAAGCAACAGTTTCTGTTGCACATTTTTCTGGGCTATGATAAAAATTTAATGATATGTAAAGCACCTGGCAAATAAAATGCTCTGCCAGTGTTCTGAAAATGTTTACCTCGGAACATCGAAAATGAAGAGCTTCACTTATTTGTTCAAATTTGTCAGGACTGTGTGTTTAGACAGGTTTAGTTTATTTGCTCTTTAAAAAAATCTCTCATACATGTCTTTTATAAATAGCAGGGCATATACGTGGGGTAGGTGATACAAATAAGAAAAAAAATCTTTTTAAGTTTACTAAGCAGAGAAATTTTTTAGTATTTTACTAATCATCTCCACATTCACATTCTGTGTATTTTCTCATGGTCAACAAACTGATTCAAATTATTTAAGTTATCCCACCATTTAAAGAGAAAAGCCTCTGCAACACTTTGAAACCATGGAGTTAGCTTAATTTCACCACTGGCTGCCTTTTTCAGCATTTCTTCCACCTCTTCCTTTGACACATAGTAATAGCTTTTAATCTCATTGGGGTCAGGATTCAAAGTTACGTTCTTTCTCACAAACAAAATGTAATCAATTTCATGTTCTCCCCAGATACTATCAGACTGAGCCTTGTAGTGAATTCGGGTCAGATAATTAATTTCTTCTGGAGGAACCTAGGATGAAAATGAAGCAGAACAAAAACATCAACAACAAAACAAGTAACCACATTTCAGCACTATCCTGAACAGAAGTAGAGTTTTACTTAGGACTTTTAACATCACAATTTCCTATGGATGATATATGGAAATATTACTACATAGTTTCAGGTATCTAAATTATTTCCATAGCCCGGCCGGGCGTGGCTCAGAGGTTGAGCATCGACCTAGGATCGGCGATGGGGGTTCGATTCCCGGTCAGGGCACATGCCTGGGTTGCGGGCTCGATCCATGACTCTCTCATCATTGATGTTTCGATCTCTCTCTCTCCCTCTCCTTTCCTCTCTCTGAAATCAATAAAGATATATTTAAAAAAATAAAAAAATTATTTCCATAGGACCAAAAATATAAGTTGACTTACTGAAATAATTGTATTTTTTTAAAAAGCAGTCTATCAAACTAGAATTGTGACCTTCTCCTTCACATCTTAGTATTACTTTTGGGAGAAAAAAAAGTATCATTTAACTTGATGAGAGATACTTTGTTTATTCAGGTCTTATTTAAAGAGGTCAAATCCGGGGTGGGGGTGATTTCATTCACCCAGAGTTGTGGTTCATAGTCCTAAGAATTTCCACAAGAAAATATTCATTTTCAACATGGTCAATTATAAAAATAGTCAACTTTACATACTGGTTAAGAGATCAATCTGTTTCGATACTGAGGTAAATTCTGACAAGTAATATTAAGAAATCAAAATTTAAATATTCTTTATTCAAGATGGTTTTTTGGGGGGGGAGCAAAAACTCAAGAGGTTACAAAGCAGAAATGTACACTTGAGTTTAAAATTTTAATAAAAAATGTTTTAATGTATGTTTAGATTTCACCTTGTATGGGTTCGTTATGCAATCAACCTGGTTACCTGTTCCATGGGAATTCCCAATTCAGCCTTTAAACGCCTCTGTGCTGCTCGCCTTACTCCAATTGCATCATTTTCTTCAATCTCTCCTGGGTTACTTAAGGGATGACTACAACAAGTATTGGTAAAACAACCTGGAACACGTGAATATAGATACAGATGAACTTTTGTTCAAAATAGGTCTAAAAAGATCAAGAGAACCTAAAGGTTTAAGAGTAACAAAAAAATTAGATTCCACTCCTAGGAATGTATCCTAAGAATCCTGAAACATTAATCAGAAAGAATATATGCACCCCTATTTTCATAGCAGCACAGTTTACAATAGCCAAGATCTGGAAACAGCCCAAGTGCCCATCAGTAGATGAGTGGATAAAAAAGCTGTGGGACATTTACACCATGGAATACTACGCAGCTATAAAGAAAAATCTCGTACCCTTTGGGACACTATGGATGGACCTAGAGAGTATTATGCTAAGTGAAATAAGCCAGGCAGCTAAAGACAAACATCACATGATCTCACTTATACGTGGAATCTAAAGAACTTAATAAACTGATGAACAGAATACATTCAATGACATGGAAGCATGGATCAGACTGACAAATGTCAGAGGGATGGAGGAGGGTGGGTGGGTGGAGGGGGAGAGAGTAACCAAAGCATTTATATGCATATATGTACAACCTAAGGACACGGACAATGGTGGGGAGAGGGAAGGGGAAGGAACAGCGGGGAATGGGTCATGGGGGAGAGAAAGGGACATCTGTAATATTTTAAACAAAAATAAAATTAAAAAAATAAACCACTTAACCATACTGTAAAAAAAAAAAAGTAACAAAAAAATTAAGCGATTCTTGAGGATTGATTTCTAAATCAGTTACAATGGACTGTCATCATTTTGTGAAATAGTGATGTGTAGATAAGTTCTTTATTAATGCCTTCTTAATCCAAAAGATCAAAATGTGTGTAAGATACAGATTTTAAAACAACATATAAATATATATAGGCATATACACACACTTAGCAGTTTTTATCCTTTATTGTTATTTTATTAGGTTGCACTTATTGTATAAGCTTCTTTTATGTAGAATATGAAATTATGTCATTCACAGGATTTCCCTTTTTGACAATGGCTAACCAGAAAGTTCCAAGTGACAAAGTCAAATTAAATATAGTTCCCAACAAAATACTATACATCAGGCACACTAACCTGGAAAGGTAATTTTGGCATCTGATCTCTGCTGTAGCAGGAGCTTATTTTCGGTGTTGAATAAGAAGACACTAAAAGCTCGATGCAATAATCCTGAAAGCAAAAGCAACACTATTAATATGGTTTTAAACTACCAGTTACATGCCTGATTCTCTACTTGGGATTCTGCGTTTGCATTTCTGCGTTTTCCCACTGTATTTAGTGAGTCTCCCCATGGCTACAATGGAGAAGAGCTCTGGCATAATCAGCAAGGAAGTCAGCCACCAAGTAAAAGAAATGGTGATCTGTCAGCCAGTCTGCTAGGGGCCTATCTCCCCTCCAGGGATATCAGGCTTAGAGAGCCACCTCCTGAGAAAGCTGGGAAGGCATGTGCTTCCTTTTATGATACTTGTGTCTTTCTCCATTCATTAGAAAGGAAGCATTATAGGCTTGACAAGTGCTATTCTGCTAGGATTAGTCTATTCCCTCTTTTGTGCAAACCAAAATAATCTGGAAGAAAGTGAGTAAAAGACATGAAGTGGAAATAGCTGTTAAGCAGGAAAAGTAGCAAGACAGGTTTTGCCATTACACCACTCAACTGATTGGAACCAGAGATAAAATACAATATGATTCAAGATCACATCTCTACCAACATACTTTTCTTAGCTACCCTGAAATGCCTAGGCATGTCACTTTCTCACAGAGTATTTTAAAACAGTACCTTTCTCAATGTTTTCATTCAGGTGACAATTCTTTTTGGTCTCAGCCCCAATTTTGTTGTCATTTTCATCAATAAGAATACACATCTCTGCCAGGAGCTGAACCTGCTGTTTATCGAGGTTGTTGGTGTTGATTTCAGGCATCGTTACTAAATGTCTGCTCTGTCCTGAAAGAGAAAGGCCATTACATCACATTTCTCTAATCGTCACATAAACACAGTGACAAGTCATTTCTGAATCCACGACCCCAGTAAGCAAGCAAGGCATTTGAGAGGGTGAGACCTGCGTTTGCTGCTATTGGTGTTCCCACTGCCCTTATTCCCGTCATCCTGCCCCATTTTGGACATCATTTCTCCTATAAGCCACTAGCTGGCCTTCTACCATAGCCATTCTCTTAACTGCCAGACTCCATGTCCTGTGAGACTCTGCAGCACTTGAGAGTCCATCCTGTTTCTCTGCACACTTTTTTTCCTTAGGAGTCTGTCCAGCTATGATCCAGCCCAACTTTACTTTTCATGTTANTTAATATGGTTTTAAACTACCAGTTACATGCCTGATTCTCTACTTGGGATTCTGCGTTTGCATTTCTGCGTTTTCCCACTGTATTTAGTGAGTCTCCCCATGGCTACAATGGAGAAGAGCTCTGGCATAATCAGCAAGGAAGTCAGCCACCAAGTAAAAGAAATGGTGATCTGTCAGCCAGTCTGCTAGGGGCCTATCTCCCCTCCAGGGATATCAGGCTTAGAGAGCCACCTCCTGAGAAAGCTGGGAAGGCATGTGCTTCCTTTTATGATACTTGTGTCTTTCTCCATTCATTAGAAAGGAAGCATTATAGGCTTGACAAGTGCTATTCTGCTAGGATTAGTCTATTCCCTCTTTTGTGCAAACCAAAATAATCTGGAAGAAAGTGAGTAAAAGACATGAAGTGGAAATAGCTGTTAAGCAGGAAAAGTAGCAAGACAGGTTTTGCCATTACACCACTCACCTGATTGGAACCAGAGATAAAATACAATATGATTCAAGATCACATCTTTACCAACATACTTTTCTTAGCTACCCTGAAATGCCTAGGCATGTCACTTTCTCACAGAGTATTTTAAAACAGTACCTTTCTCAATGTTTTCATTCAGGTGACAATTCTTTTTGGTCTCAGCCCCAATTTTGTTGTCATTTTCATCAATAAGAATACACATCTCTGCCAGGAGCTGAACCTGCTGTTTATCGAGGTTGTTGGTGTTGATTTCAGGCATCGTTACTAAATGTCTGCTCTGTCCTGAAAGAGAAAGGCCATTACATCACATTTCTCTAATCGTCACATAAACACAGTGACAAGTCATTTCTGAATCCACGACCCCAGTAAGCAAGCAAGGCATTTGAGAGGGTGAGACCTGCGTTTGCTGCTATTGGTGTTCCCACTGCCCTTATTCCCGTCATCCTGCCCCATTTTGGACATCATTTCTCCTATAAGCCACCAGCTGGCCTTCTACCATAGCCATTCTCTTAACTGCCAGACTCCATGTCCTGTGAGACTCCGCAGCACTTGAGAGTCCATCCTGTTTCTCTGCACACTTTTTTTCCTTAGGAGTCTGTCCAGCTATGATCCAGCCCAACCTTACTGTTCATGTTATTTTTCAATGTTTCTGTATTGTCCATAATAACCCATATTATATATTACATATATAAACGTGGCTTACATGGTAACCATTATTACCCCACATATGTTCCCTTTCCCTCCTTTGCCACATAGCAATCTCTGTTAGAATCCATTTTCCAAGGTCCGATCTATGTGCCCAACACTCACGAGCCTTTTAACCAATATCCCAGTAAGATTTAACCAGTTTTTCTCAACCGGGGCTCCTGATAAGAGTGTGACTGCCGCGTGCATTCCCCAGGCAGCGCAGTAACTAACACCCCTGCGATGGAGACAGTCACCGTCGGCCGCGCGCGTCACCCCGCCTGGCAGCGCACATGCAGCTGCGGGCCGCGCGGCGCTGTTGCAAGGAAACTTCACTGACAGGCAGTGGGGCTGGAATTTTCACTCCGTGTTCACGAACACCAAACACCTCCAGTCCTCTGCCCCCCGCAAACATCTAAAACTGGAAGACCATTCTTAGCTCACAGGACCCAACAGGCAGCGGGGCTGGATTTGGTCCGCAGGCTGAAGTTGGCAGCAAGCTACCAAAGCTTACTGCGCCCCGCGCTGAGCTTCCGAGACTCTGGGGGTCCAGCCCCCCGTGTCCCCCTCGAGGACTACCCACCGTCTCTCCCCTCGGGGAGACCCACGCCCTGTCCCTCTCCCTCGGGACCACCGAAAGCCCTGTGTCTCCCCCTGGGAACGTCCCATCTCTCCCCTAGGGGACCCTAAGAAACCCCACATCTCCCTTCGGGGACCCGTCCCCCTTCTCTCCCCTCGGGACACCCGGGAGGCCCTGGTCACTAGCCCTCCGGGATCCCCCCCCATATCTGCCCCTGGGGACCCCTTTTCTCACCCCGGGGACGCGCTGATCCGAGGGCACGTACAGTCCTTGAGCTGCCGCGCGCCGGCACACGCCTCGCCCCGGCTCAGCCCCGTAGGCTCCGGACGCCCCGCGTCCAATCGCCCGCGCCCGCGCCCGCCCCCTCGGCAGAGCGCCCCACATGTCTGCAGGCCAATCGCGCGCCACCAAAACCTGACGTCATGGTCACGCGATGGCGCCACACCCGGCCCGCGTAGGGTCTCTAGCAGGACCGAGGGTCACAGTTTCGCTTCTACGCCACGGCGCGTGTGTCTGTCGCGTCCCCCGACCGAGGAGTCAGCTGACCGGGGGGCGCTTTAAAGGCCGGCGGCGGGCAGGCGCGCGGGGGGCCCGGGGAGGAC